TAGTCCGGCACCAGCTTATCTACGAGAAGAAAAAGGACTACATAAACGTACGTAAGCGCCTACTCAGGATAAAATTTAAGGGCCACCAGGGAGTGTTGGCTCGCGGTCATAGTGACCAGGAAGTTGGCTGGGGGATTTTAAAAGTGGTATATACAATAGCGGAAAAAAATTAGCACCTGATAAAAGCTTTATTTATGAAATAAAGCTTTACAATGGCTTTTGTCAAAAGTGATCTTGAACCGCTATTCTGTATGCTACTTCCACGAGTTCTACTCAAACTACGATCGACACAGGATTTCACACTGCTTTTTGTCGTGCCTTAGTGATTGTCCAGAAGTTGGTTTGTCGACCTACTAGAACTCACAGATACAAATCCAAAACTGCGCTGACGTAGTGATCCCATCTCACTCAGATCAGCTACATTGGTCTCCACAGACGCTCCATCTACACTTATGGCGCATCTGCATTAATCCTTGATCACTAAGGGTTACTAGAAGCAGGTGGCTACGGCTATTACCACAGCTAATGGTTCCTGTACACAGGCCCTCTACGATGACAAATGGAGGCTTCTTGCAAGACGAATGACTTCACTTTCCCTATCACAGCATGACCTCAGATAGTTGCCGAGTAACAGCACTTACATACTTCCAGGAAATTGAATGGTTCCACGTTGTCTACATATCTGACAGCCAGCAGTACTGTAATAGACACAGCCTTTGGTGTTAAAGTCCCTACTGTCCCTGAACACCAGTCTTTATTATACTTGTTTAAACTAGCTGACCAGTCTAAGAAATTCTGGCCACTGACTCGGGACCTCTCGGTCATCCTCAGATAGTCCATGGACTGATATAGTTGACTGATATAGGGGAATTTTGAAGACTATATTTTTCTGAAAGCTTATCATACGTACATTCAAATTTTGTAGCCTGGGTGCGGGGAATTTTCCCCACCGTGCAACACACACACACATCGGGGTCAGTGGTTAAATATTTGGAAAAGTGAGTTTTTACTTATTTTCAAAAAAATACATTCAAAAAAATACATTCTAATAACTGTTCTCTATCGGGAGCAATAAAATATTTAAGCTTCAATAATTAGAGGCACAAGAAGACTTTAACTTGGAAAAATGCATTGCGTCTAAGGGAAACATAAAATCTTAAAGCTGTTTTTCTACACATTCTAGTTGGCAATTGTTTTAAGAATGTATTCTTGCTTCAATAGCTCTAAAATGATCAAAATTGACTTATATTACAGTTAAATACAATGTCTGTTACACTGTGTTAAAGAAAATAATAACAATAAGCAATGTAAAACAATTTCTTAAAATTCCATTTAAAATATTCATCTGAGGACTAGCACTGAACAAAGGATCTAACATAAGTTGTATGGAAACACTACGAGAGTTGTATCCCTTTACAGCAATAAACATATCTCCCTGATAATAGACGACATTTTTCTCAACTCATGTATGCTGCTTTTTCAGTTAATCTGGTGAGTATTTTTAGTTCTTTTATTATCTGGATAAAACAAATCAACTAAGAAGTATGATATACAATAATTTCTAATTGAACATAACATGTAATGAACTTTGTTGATAATAAAAAGTTCCATTTAATTTAACTTGTGCTCAAGAACTGCAACATACACTCCTCTGTGAAAATCATATGCACTTATAATGATAATACAACACCCACAACAGGTGATTTTTTAAAAAAGTACAAATTTTCAAAATTAAATCTTGCCAAACTTTTCTGCAAGATACTTTTTTCCTCATGACAACTTTTATTAACATATCCCTTGAAACCTTCAAATGAACGACAGGTATTTTGCATCAAGTGAGGTACATTGGAGTACTGAGACACTGAAATGCATAATTCATCACAAGCATACTGAAGAAACCTCCGTGAGACAACTGACTGATATAAGTTCAAGAAAGATAAGATACAGTACTGTTTAGACAGTCACAGACTGATCCAACTATCCGACTAGATGATATTTGTGCTCTCATACCAAAGACTCTCAATGCAAAAAAATCATGGATACCACAGATGGTGTTATCAAAACTTCGCGAATATCAACCATCTTAAATGATGATCCAACACTTCCAGCCTCTACAGCAAGTCAAATGAACCTCAACCAAAGAGAAGACGATCAGATACATTTGCGGGTGTGTTATTTCCTGAGGACAAATGCATCTTTTGCAGAAAATCTAAACTGAAGTTCAAAAACGTTATCCAGCCACTTGTTAAGTGTGTAACCGAAACTGCTGCAAAAATCGATAGTAGAAGCTGCTGAATGAAAACAGGATGACTCGCTTCTCTGTGATATCTTGGGATCAGATCTTGTTGCCAAAGAGGCGCACTTTCACAATGTATGCAGACGCAGCTACACACGCGCAGAAGCTGCTGAGAGACACAACAGAAGCACCCAAGATGATTACAACTGCATATTGGATGCTCATAAAACAGCGTTTAGCTATCTCTGCTCCTATATTGAAGAAAACATAATCCAAAAGGGTAAAATTGAACCGATGACTATGCTGAAAGAAAAATACCTGAACTACATTCTTACTCACAGTTCTCAGGTGCATAATGAAGGGTACAATACATACAAACTCAAGGATAAAATTCAAAGACATTTTGGAAGTAAAATAAGCTTTTGGCAGCCTAATCACCATAGCGATCTTATCTATTCTGAAAGTCTTTTTAAAGGAAATACCGTTGAAGTTGCCTTCGAGGCAACTGCATCTGATGACGGAAGAGTTGTTGAGTCTGCAGTAATTTTGAGACGATTGATCTTAGAAGCTCACAAGAGTTGTACTTCTCTTCCATGGCCACCATCAGCTAAAGATCTCAGGGATCATTCTCTAGGACTTCAGCCTGATTCCGCCGACTTCTGTTTGATTTGGTGGCTCACGTACTATCTGGTAAAGCCTATTCTTCAACCAGCACCAAAACAAAGCGACTTGTTAACTCATTGAGCCAGGATCTGTGCTTTGCTTCAACCCATGGCAAGTGGACATTACCAAAGCATTTGCTTCTTGCAATGACAATCAGACACTGGACTGGCAGTGCAGAGATTTTGACTCTTCTTAATCGGTTTGGACATTGTCAGTCTTATTGTCAAAATCTTGAAGTGGAAACATCCATTTGCAACAAGATCACAGCTAGCAACTCTATTCTCCCAGCTACAGCTGTTCCAGGACAAACAGAAGTGATTCACTTTTGTTGGGATAACTTTGATCTCAATGAAGAAACACCTTCGGGAAGAGGGACAACACACACCGCTCATGGTAACATCATACAGAAATCTAGATCTGTGAACCCTATCGAAAGAGAACTTGTGCCTTGTTACTGGAAAGGAAAGCCTGGGCCAGACTTTTACATCCAGAGAACAAGAACAGATGATCCTGCTAGTCATTCAGATGCAGTGATATCCGATATTCTCTGGCTACTGGCAGAATTCATAAGCCAGGAGAAGTTCCAGGGTGGACGGGATGGTTGTCAAGTGTGAGCCAGAAGGTCGACAAGAAGCAATCAGTTGTGGATTACATGACACCAGTTAATGCTCCAGTCACTGACAATGCAATAGTTCAACATCTCTTGGAAATATCTGAAGAAGCAAGCGATCAACTTAATCAAAGCTACACTATTGTTACCTTTGATATTGCAGTTGCAAAGAAAGCTCTGTCATTAGTCTGGCAAAATAGATGTTTTGAGAATGTTATAGTACGCCTTGGAGTCTTTCATACCGTTTGTGCTATTTTCGGAGCTCTAGGAAAGAGAATGGAAGGGAGTAGATTTTCTGAAATATTCATAGAGTCTGGAATATGTGTAAGCAGCTCTGTTGCAAAAGTTGTCTCAGGAAAACACTACAACCGTGCCATGCGGGTACACAAGCTTGTACTCGAAGGCTTGGAAAGGCTACTTCTTCAAGTTTTCCTAACATCTCAGTCATGATCATGAAGTTATGATGATTGATTGGTACTGAACATTAAACAAGTTGAGCACCAGGCCATCTTCCCTTTTACCGCCGTCCAGCGTGTGATTGAGTGGGATGGTTTAGAAGCAGGGGCTGTCCAGATTAATGTCTTAGACTTTAATTCACTGGGGTCTTCTGATAAATCGCGGAGAGGTGGGGTCTACTTGCCAAACTGCGTCCTTTTGTCTTGAAACCACATCCATTCGGGAATGCCCACTCCCTAGAGTCTTTGTGTCTTGTAAGCCAAGGAGTTAATACACGAGAAGCAACCCATACAAGTATTGGAGTATAGCATATCGTGAGTTGGTGCATTCTCAAGGCCTCCTTGTGTAATGCGTCATCATGGTTTTTATACATTAGACACAGAGTAATCTGCGGATAAGTATTATAGATAAACAATTTATAGTAAACTTTTCAATTGTTTCTTTGCTAATCAAGTTATACCATAGCCACTGCCTCATGACACAACAAAAGCCTCAAATCTTGGAACTGGGAAGCAACTTACTGTTACTGACAATTTTCATCGATTATTGTAACTATTGAAATGAACAAAAACAGGGCATATATTGGTACTTTCCAAGGACTTTATGTGTCACTTGCACTTGGTTTGCAGATTGCCCATGGTTCGGTTTTACAGACATGATGATAAAAAGACCTTGATGATAAAATGCTTCAATGAATATGTTTTAAATTCTATTGTATTGTACGTTAAAGAGAGTTAAAACCTGTGAAGATGTGGGTTAGAATTGATGTTCAGTACCCCCAATGCTTGTCGTAAGAGGCAACTAACGGGATCAGGTGGTCAGGCTCGCCGACTGGGTTGACACATGTCATGGTATCCCAATTGTGTAGATTGATGTTTATGCTGTTGGTCCCTGGATTGTCTGGTCCACATCCGATTATTTACAGACCACCGCCATAAAGCTGGAATATTGCTAAGTGCGGTGTAAAACTAAACTCACTCACTCACTCACTAAAGTGAGTTAAACCTCATCTCACCTCACTTCACCTCATTTCAGGCAGTTCCTACAAAGAAACGATTAACCTAGCCAGAGGCAAGCCAGCAACAGCGAGCTCTGTGATTGGGCCCCTGCCTAGAGTTGCAACAGACGGTCTCCCAAACACTGATTGGGGATCTGGCAGTTGCTTTGCTGTGACCGAAGGAGACTATCATCCCTGGTGGCAAGTCGATCTTGAAGCTTATTCTGAGGTGTTTGAGGTTGCCGTGACAAGCAGGAGTGACTGTTGTCGTGAGTATAATGTTACGATGTACACTAAAAAGTGAATCTAATTTGACGAGATTGTAATAGTTCTTTAAACAATCTGAAACAATCTGTATGCGACGTGATCTCAGTGAGAATGGGACAGTACTTATTCCCAACAAAAACTGAAAAAGAGGTAAGACTACAATTAGCCATGCATATATCCCATAATTAATTGTAAATATTACCCTCTTTCTATAATCAAATAATATGACTATATTATAACTTATATTGTTAAGCTGTTTATCGTAGTCAGACAGTGAAGAGTATGGGATTCGCCAAATAAACTGTATGGCGACGGGGTTTTTCGGAAGGGCTGGGTCAAGACAAGCCAAGAACGGCTACTTCCTCTTTTCACCCACCTCTTCTTGACAGGCTCCTTATGTTTTATCAGCATGATCTGTTGGGAAAACGGTCGAGCTGTAAACCAAAGACAATCAAAGAATATCTAGTTCCTACTGTGTGTGGATATGGATATGGATATGGAATACACCCTGAAAAACACAATATTACATGACACATAAACACGTAAATACATTGTACTTAAACATACGGTTCACAGACTTCATGCAGAACGATATGTGCATTGGCAATGAACGTGATTACAACATGGAGATATACCCCGGTCTTGCTCAAAGTTAAGGAAAATAATGACAACCTGTCAGTAATAAAAGAGTGTGATCTCAACAGCCATACTCATGGAGAACAGTCTAGAAATAAATCAATACTTGCACACATCCATTTATTTACTTGCAGTGATAGAATATTTAGTGAACCTTGTAAATAATTATTTAATCAGTCATAACCTATTTTAATCAGTAGTATACAAAATAATGACCGCTTACCCTCATCAATCCTTTTCACTCCAATTCCACCCCCACAGCTACCATAACACAGACCAAATTCAGCGGAACCTCAAATAATCGAAATGAATGCACAGCTGTCGATAGGGAACTATATTGAGTCAAAAAAGAAACTTCACAAAATGTAATTTGAAAAATAAGGAATAATTTTTTTTGGATGATACATCTGTGCATCCGAAATGGGATCCCTATCTTTCGACTCTAGAAAAACGTTAGCAAAACCCACTCAAACCCATCCATTCGTCGTGCAAATGATGTTAGTGCCAAATCAGGTTTTGCACGTGCAGTCGATCACGTGATCTTCGCATCGAAGTTTTCTTCATAAACACGTGTTTGCATTGGCCTCAAGAATTGAAAAAAAACACTTTTAAACCACAGTTCTAACTGTACATTACATGCCACGATTGTCAAATGTGCAACGTGAACGTGCCGTTGGCAACTTGCAAGCGGGAAGATAAGTTATTGACGTCGCAAGAGCAATGGGATGCAGCCGTCGTACTGTGTATGACTTGCGAGGTCGTCTACAACAAACTGGCACCACTTCTGATCGCCCAAGGTCGGGTCGTCCACGTGTGACGTCACGAGCAGAAGACCGTCAAATCGTCCTACGTCACCTACGTTACAGATTTCTGCCGGCTACACGAACCAGGGCTGAGATGTTTAGACGTCGACTGTCCTCACAGACCATTCAAAATCGTTTGCGGGCTGCCAATCTCCATTCTCGACGTCCATATCATGGGCCAATATTGACGCCGTTTCATCAACGTCAACCTCTGCTGTGGGCCCAACGTCACCTCCGATGGACCCAGAGAGACTGGAATCGAGTCGTCTTTAGCGATGAATCCAGGTTTACCCTCAGATTCGCGGACGGCAGGCATAGAGTCTGGAGACAACGTCGTGGACGGTATGCCCAATGTTGTGTACAGGAAGTCGACAGATTCAGGGGCGGAAGTTGCATGGTGTGGGGTGCTTTCTGTAGGAACAACCGTTCCCGACTTCTGGTCATCCGTGGAAACCTCACAGCTGCTGCTTAACGCGACCAGGTGCTCACCCCTGAACTCGTTTCTTTCATGGCAACTCATGGCCCAGGTCTACAGTTCCAGCATGATAATGCTCGGCCGCATACCGCGATGTTGACACGAAATTTCCTTCAAAACGCTGGAATCAACGTCATGGACTGGCCATCGAGGTCCCCTGACCTTAATCCAATAGAGCATGTTTGGAATGCGCTTGGGAGAAGGCTTCGTGGTCTTTGGAACCAACCTCAGAATTTGCAGGAACTTGACGCTGCCTTGCAAGAGCAATGGCGCAAAATCCCCAACCACGTGTTCACAAGCATCAGGCAGTCGATGAGGAGACGGTGTTTGGAAGTGGTGAATGCCGGGGCGGCCATACACGATATTGAACTGAGAAATTTCGCATTTTTATTCTTGTGACTTGACATTCTGTATACCCATGATTTGGAACGGCGGTGTAGCCTAATGGAACTGATTATGGCACTGTCAGTGTATCGAGTACATCACACAGATCTCAGCAATGAAATAATAACAATTTAACCTTCTTACCTTCTCTTGTTCTTTTATAGTGCCCTGAAGAAAGAATGTGAAGTTTCTTTTTTGACTGAGTATATATCCGGTATTTTCGATCATTGTTGCGGGAGATGATAATTCTTATGGGATCTTTTCCCCTGGTTAAGCATTCTGTTCGACTCATTTAGTTTGAGACTAGCTCCATTAGGTTTAAAATTTTCATTGTTCAGTAAACAAACATTATAATAACCATTCGAAATAATGTGGCGGTCTCTTTTTTTTCGCTGGTCTCAGCGATGACCAGGCCACACTGCCTAGTGGTGACAAACTTCAAGTCTGTTTTCATATTTCACGTTTACTACCAGATCAGGCGCGTACTTAAAGAAATAAATACACCAGTTCCACAGGACTCCGAATGGAGCGCAATGAATAATCCGTACGATCGGCGTGCATACGAACGTATCTATGATGAATTCAGAATCAATACAAATACCTGAAGATGATTTGAAAAAAAATATTTTAGATAAATCAAATGCGTTTTCTCATCCCAGTGTTGTAAGACTTTTGAGTATTATAGGTCAGGGGACAGCTTTTGATGCGCAGAAACAGTTTGTGGCGAACGTCGAAGATTCTATTTCATCCCCTGTAGATTTGCCAAAAGCCATCAAGAGATACCAAAATTTGCTAGTGAATGCCGGGTCTAAAGTTAACTACGTTTTTCGTATAGGTTTGTACGTGGCTCTTAGTAATATGAAAATTAGAGTTAATCGCGTGGAAGGTTCTAACAGCGAAATTGTCATGGCTACGAGCGAACAAAAAAATAGGTGTCACCCCAGATGTCAACGTACCGGTACTGATACCGTCAACGCATACTACACCAAAACCACAGTCGTCAGCACGTGCTCAAAATCAATGACATATTGATCAATCGTGCGATTGCAATTGGTTTGTATGTGGTTAAAAATTCCTTAGCGTCTACATACAGCAGGCCGACAACTGACATGATTAACGTCCACAAAATGTGACTAAGCCAAGTAGCAGTCTAGATAATACGTTCAGTAGCCAGGATGCAATACCACTAATTATACCTGGGAGCGCTTACACTAGCCTTGCTAGGGCTTCACCCAGGGACTTAAAATGTTTTTAATCTATTCTTTTACGTCGCTAGGCGGTAGGCTAGGTGGTGTCAGAGCATCACCCGTAATAGAGAGAACTAATGTCGATATGATAAAACCATGGTGCGGTTAAAATACTACCAATGGTTCCATCGTCGTGTCATCGTTCAGGACTCGATTGATGGTTTCGCGAATTCTACTGATTTGGGATCGAAGAGCTTCTATATTGGTGGAAGCCGATTATATTCGGACCAATCTTTTACAATCTACCTCAATCTTTCACCTTCTTTCTGCAACACGTCTGTTGAATTCACTTCCCGCTTCTTCGAGTTTTCTTTTCTCCTTATCCATATGAGTGTTGAGATTGTCTAGTTTAGCTAAGTTATTGACGAGTATTGTTTGCATGGCATCAACTAGGCCTCACAGTTCCTGAATTGTATGATTCAGATCCGGTGTTTCTAATTTAGTATTGTTTATAGTGGACAATATTTTGTTGAGTCCTATCAAACCTTCCTTAGTGTGTTGTGGTACCTCTCTCAAATTATCCTGATCTAACGCACTCGCCATTGCACCAAGCTCAGTCCGCACCATTTGCAGTGTTTTAGTGGTCTTTGCTGAAAGTCTTGACTGTGTACAACAGTGTTCTAGATTTAATTCATCGTAGAGAAAGTTGACGCCATGGTGATTGGCCGCTGTAGACAATTCAAGGGGTTTTCTCATAGGGCATTCAGAGATCAACCTCCAAAGCCGCTTTCAGTCGCAGTATCCCTTTATTATCTATTTCAAACTTAGAAAAGGTGACATGTTATTTTCATCTTTCTTTAAGACATCGTAATAATCATTCACAGTCGTCTTTAAAAGTTCGTTGCTTAGGACGTCACCCATGAATGAGGTGTCATTCGGAGTGGTTCATCATCCACCACTGGCGTTTCATCAGTGACATCCAAATCGTTACAGGACTGGTTAAAAGCATTTCAAGTTTAAGGGAGAGTCGAAGCTTTTCATCATAGACGATTTCAGCGTAAATAAAGAAATCACCAAAAAGAGAGACATGTTGTCCTATTTAGCATTTTCGGGTCGTCTTATGAAGTTTAGCATTTGGGTACTCACTCAAAAATTCAACTCGGTACTGAAAGACCTCAGAGAACTGATGCGATGGGTCACATTATTTCACTGCAAGGATAGGGATTCGTTCGAGGAATGTTTACAAGAAAATGATGTTATCCCAACAAAACTGAGTGAGAACGCGTAAAGCTCATACTAAAAACAGACCAACCCATTGCTTATACAGTGCTAGCTTAGCAACTGCTTAGCAAATGGTTAGCATATTAAACGTGTAGCTATAAACGTATATAAACCATGCCATGTTTTGAAATCGTTATGTTTTGGTTATTTAAAAATTTGTTACGTTAGACTTAAAAACAGATTGATATATTATAAGATGAAGTATGAAGACTTGCTCGAACAAATTTTACCCGACA